AAGTAAAATAACAAATGAGTACTATTGCTATTCAAAATGCTGCTCCTCTTTCTCAGAGTTATTCAGTTGTTATGTCATCATTAACCTCTAAATTGAAGAGAACAAACAGAAGAGGAGAAACAGGAGGAACCAGGAACATTTCAATAGCTGATAATTACAAAATGTCTCCTATTACAGGTTGTTTTGAAAGAGTAGAAATTGCCCAATTGATGGATCTGGAAGAAATGTAATACATTCCAGGAATTATGATTTTTAATATTGGACCTTTGAATCATTTAAGATTTGAAAAGCAGGACGTTTGTTGTTAGGAAATATAATAATGAACAGTCATGCAACTGCTGTAAAAAAGTGAAGCATCCTTTACTATGGAGGGGCTAGCAGATGTTTTCATCAGCGTCTTTTATACCTTCCATCAGAAGACAAAATACATAATAGATGTATGAACATAGAGTCACACAATTAGAAGAGACAGCTAAGGATTTTAACATGTTGACTATAAAAAGTGCAATCCATGACGACGATAGGCATAGATGCAAAATGTTGTATGTCAGAGGACAAATGAGGTGTGTCTGTGTGTGTGAGTTATGTCGTAGTATTCTTCTCACATGTTGTGTCACAACACACTGGGGACAACAACACTGAGCAAGACTCCCACTGAGTCACCAGACCTCTCGTTAACAACACCAGTGGCTTCTGTGTCTGTTCATGTGCTGCATGCTTGTGTGTGTTTGTGAGAGTGTGAGAGGGACTGGAGTGAGTGAGCATAACTGAGATAATGTGAATGAGATTAATAGTGAATGGGTAGGAGAAAGACTGAATGAGAATGTGTGTGTGAATGACAGGATAAGGGGGGAACAAAGAGAGAGGTTTACATGGGTCTTTTGTTGTTTAATGTTGTGTTATAAGGGACAACCATCTAAAACTATTGCAGTCCAATACAATAGAGTGCGGCCGGAATAAGGAATAACTCAATGTGCTTTTTGAATGCAATTTTTTGCTAGATGGACTAGTGTTTTGTTTAATGAATTTGAGTAGTCTCATTTAGTATAATAAGAGACTGTGGTTAACATTCTAACAATCTTAAGATATTTTTAGCGCTGTGTTCCTGGATCCTAATGAGTTTTCAAATGTTTGTGTCTTAATAAAGAAGGTTGCTAACAAGTGGATAAATGGGACAACAAAATATCATCAGGCCAAACATGAGTCCGCCTTTTGTTTGGTGGCAGTGAAGTAAGTTATGTGACTGTGGTAAAGCCCAGAATAAAATATTCCAAAGGTCTCTTGCTAAACTATAACAATTAAAATATTGTAATACACAAACAACTGTATTTATTAACTGCCATTTGCATACATGTTTGATGTTTAGCTGGAAAATACAACTCTAAGAAAAAACGTATATAATAGGTTATAATAATTTACAATAATAATCTGCATTAAAAAAAAACCTTGACATCAAATGACCTCCACTGTGACACACTCAACAGTTTTCGTGTCAAGGAACAACTTAACACAGACAACTTAAGTCCTTGTGGTTGAGGGACAAACATTGATTTCCCGCTATAGAAGTGTGTCATTCAGTAGCTCAGAGGAGAGAGACTCATATATAAATTACAGATTGTTTTGGTCATTTATGGTGTCATTTGTTTTGTTTTTAGAAGATCTGTCCTTGGCCCTCTAACACACATGTGTTTAGTTTAGGAAAACCAGAATCAGGTGCAAATTACCCTGTTTCTGTTTTGACTGAAGTGATCAAAACGGGATGATATGAGGATTGACTTAAGTGAATGCTAAATACCAAGTACTAAAATGCTCATAAATACAGATTTAATTTAGATGTTGATAATAAAAAAATTAAAACTGTATTTAACCGAGGCATTAAGCAACAATAAGGCAATAGGCTCAACAAACTAACAGGCACAAAAGGGATTATATCAAACATCTGACTTTCCTCTGTTCCCATATCGATTTCACATATCAGCCTAATTCCAAAGTGTTTCCTCTTCGGTTCTCATCCACTTACGTTCCTCACCCTTTGCTTCTGGCAGCTGATAAATCAAATTATGATTGGTTCTTTCAGAGGAATTTTTCGAAACTTTCCAAAATAGTTTCCAGGGGACTTATTTGTGGAAAACACCAGCCAGACTGCTTTCTTGAAATAATGCCAGGGCAAAAATACTTTCAAGCAGAATTTGGACAAGCAGCCTGAAGTTCCTAAGCACAGCTACAGTATGATCCTTACTTTAACAGCCCTCTGAATATTTCATTAGTTGGAATTGAACTTCTCTTCACCCAATCTGTCTTTGCCGCTGTGACAGAAGTTAGTACCAGCTAGGTAATTCGATCCTCCATTTGCCTGTAGTTATTATTTTAGCAAACTGCTAACACCTGTGTTGCAGACATTACTATTGACCATTGGCATGTACTGTAGCATCCTTGGCTTGGAAATACAGCAGCAGTAACCTGGTCCAGATTATTCTGCAAGGATTAAAGTCCAACTGAAATCACATGCAGTCATCCTTTAATGCAGTAAAATAATGTCAACATGTTTTTCAATTTATTCTCAACTGTTTTTTTATGAAAAAGGAAGAAAAACAGAAGAGAAATATCCCTTTTCCTCTCAGCCACCAAGGTGGTGTTCCCATGTTTGATTGAGAGCAGCTGGCAGCCTGAGCCTGCAAATTGACGTTAGCAATTCACTTTGTCATGCATTCTAGAAAATAAGGTGCACGTCAAAAAACGATCACCAAAAAACAGATATTTGTTTTGTAGAAAAAAAAACTAACAAACCCTTTTTTAGCATAATTAGCTTATCTTAGACCAATGTCTCCACTGATATTCAAAGTTATCTCTACCCCCATATTGGGAAGTGGACCAAACATTTCAATGTCTTATATGTACAACATAACACATCTTTACTCTAACAAGACCAATGGCCTGCTCACCTATCACCCAGCTCAACATCATGTTGCTGCAGTAATTTAATGGAGGCTAACCTCCCATCAGGGTCTGTCAGTAAAAGTGAGTTATGCAAGTTCTGGCTGAGCTCCCACACTGGATTGGGGCCAGAAGATGTGGAGATGAGATAGCGTCAATCAACAGCAGCGAAACCACTTCAGGAGTGAGGTCATTTCCCAGCGGTCTACTCAGCGACTTTCCTGCTGCTTTTGAATTTAGGATACAATATCCAACATCTGATACTGAAGTTATGAATAGGAGAAAAATAAATCATCTGCACCTTTTTTCTGGCTCAAGGTGGGTTATTATGATCATAGAAGTGCAGTGCAATCAAATACATGAGGACTAGTTGTTTGGCATTTTAAGTGATCTAACTTCTGTACATACCTGGCTCGTCACTACCTCACTCGTAACACAAATGAACGTTCAAATTATCGGACACATGGTAGATGTCTGAGTCATATTGTATAATTTTGTTGTGTAGTACATATTTTGTATATCGACTGGCCAAGAATAACGTGGCCTCTAGTCGAAACTGTGCACATTGAAAGCTTTCCAATAGCTTAGAGGCCATTTCACATAAGTTAGTATTGAAAGATCAAAATTGGAAGGCTTTACACTTCCGGGTTAACCTACAATCCTGGGAAAGAACAGTCAGGAGAAGTCATGTAACATGATGTAATCTTTTTTGATTGATAAAACATCAAAGACTCTTTATGATATAATATATATTATATATGGTATGGTTTAATATATTGAAATAAAGTAAGTAAATATTGTAAAAAATTTCAAAAGTCAGATTTGTTTTAATTAAAAACACATTTTTCTCAATATTTACGGTCATCTGAAAAGCAACATTGTATCATTACACTGGACACTGGAAGTATCACACACCTTATTTTATTGGACGTTAGTGTTTATTTTCCAATTTTTTATAAGAATATTGGTGTGCAAATTCAGCATTTTCTTTTCGAATGGTCTCATTTTTTATGGCTGAAAATGATTGCAACATTGGATTACTACACTGGACAATTGGACACACCTTTTTTTTTCAAGCCTGAGCGAAGGAGCACTGGAGACACAATGTGTTCTCTTCAAATGTCATAAGAATTGCACATATTTAATTCAGAAAAATCCATTTCTTTTATCAGAAGTTTTTGAATTTGTGTATTTCTAAAATCCTCCATACAGTCCTGCATGGTATGTTCTTTTTTCCCGGAGAGGAAATTAAGAGGCTCTTTAGTCAGACACACTGACACCGCCAGTGAGACACATAGACTGCAATATAAATCCAGCCCGACTTACAGATGGATATGCCAGGAGTATGACTAAAGTCCCTCGCCAGATTCACAGAAACAGGCTAGGCCAGAGAAGCAGATGCTGCTGCACAGAAGCTACAATACACTTACAATGTACTCCTCTGCCAGCAGATAGCTGGAAAGAGCCACTGCACCTCCCTGAAATAAGTGTTACTACCATAAGGATGACCACACTTGTGTATGCTCAGCTGAATGTGTTCAACAACATCACCAACATGTTAGGTAGTGTAATGAATCTTCCCAGGGAAACAAAGACAAATAAACATCATTCACATCAGGAAACATAATTTGACAGAAAACAAAGACTATTGATGAAGACTGAAAACGCCCACAGACTTGGATATAGTGTCAGTAATCTATCTAACAGCAATGTAAGGTTGGACACAGCAAGAAAGGAAGAATCTGTTTAGCGATGTTCCATGAGGTGAAATACTGCAGGCTTCACTAGTATTTTCATTTGTGGTTTTTGTTATCCTTACCTTGTGTCAGAGGTCATTATCATATAAATGTCAAAGCTTGATAATGGCAATTTCCACTGGATGCATGGAAGCAAGAAAATGAAGACTGAGAGTGATCGGCACAGCGAAAGGCGGAGATGATCCCATGCAGGAGTTGGGATTTTAGCCTAAGCTTTGTGTGTCTCCAGTTGGGAAACAAACACTGACTCAGTGTCCAACAACATCTCTTTGTGTGATGGGTGAGGTATATTATGAGCATGCCACTAACCTTCTTGGTCTTGACTGTGGATTGGCAGCAGTCTCCTCCATCATAGTTACAGAAGGCTCTGTTGTTGACCGCATCACAGTAGTTGTCTCCCATGAATGGCTATACCAGAGGGATCAGAAAGAGTGGCAATTTAGTGAAAAACACTAACCAATCTAAGTGCCACCTTTAAACTGGTTCATAAAGGTGAAAAGGTGAATAACCAAATACGGCCTTTGTTCTTGTGGTCTTGAGCATTTCAGGGCCTTTTAGAGGTCTCTGGATAAATTTGCTGATGAATCTGACGCACTAAATTTCCCTCATCTTTCAATGTGACTTTTTAAGCCCTTAGTGGGCCAGAACCGTAAATCAAACTGAGTAATAATACCATAAACTGTTCACTTCACAATACACTCCAATAAGGTGATTTATTGGGTTGGACCCACCCTCTCCACTTGGGTTACCAATCAGGTTATACAATTGGCCTAAACAAACTTGAGTAGATGATATCATTCTTGCACGACGTGAAGTAGAATTATTTCACATGTTGTATTTTATAGACATGGATGGTCCATTTTTAGAGGAAAGAAACATTTAGCACGTTATTAAGGGGTAAGAAGTAATAAATCAGTATTAATAAGTCATAACATCAGATTACAGCAAGCTAATGAGTGGCAATGAGCCGCATCAGTTATTCTGATACCGGATACCCTTGTGGCAAAAGCATATATAACTGGCTTATAAATGCCTAAGTGGAAAGATGCTAAAAACCACCTGTGCGCTCTGTGCAGGAGGTTGTCCTCAGCAACTGGCTTCAGAAATAACAATGTGAATAGCTACTGGCAGTGTGGTAAAACACTAATACATTCTTAATTAATCCCAACAGCAGTTAGCCTGTTGAAAGCAAAGCATTAACTGATCAAGCCCTACCTGGAAAATGACCTATAAACACAGGTATTCTGACAAGACAGTAAATGACATGACTAGTCAATATATTAATCCATTAAATAGCCAAATTCCACTTGCCAAGCACAGCGAATACAGTTAAATTAAACTAACTTTGGAGGGGTACTAAAATGAAGATTTATTTGTATAAAAGGAAACTTTTGTAACCTCTTGTTGTCACTTTTTCCTTGTCCATGAGGTTGCTATTTCAACAACAAAAATCTGAACAGACAAACATGTCAATGTTTTTTTTCATAAGCATTAATAAATATGTATATTTATCATAAAGGCAGACAAAACTGTTATTTGGGCCACTATAAGCATCTAAACTGAAATACGGCAACATATCATATCAGAACAAATCTAATCACTCGTAAAGGTTTGAGATCAAGGGTGATGAAAGAAATAGTCTTTATGTCTAATATGATAGATGAGACTATTACTCCACACAAACAAAGACAGAAACAACAATCTAATTCAGTTTGAGCCCTTACCTCACATCCTTTGATGCAGTGGAGCAATTCTGGGTGTGGATACCATTTGAGTCCCATGGTACAGACTATATTCTGAAAGATAAGATAGAAGTTGGGGGTTTATTTGAGCCGCACTGTGCATATCATGTGTCCCGGCATGTGCAAATGCATGTATGTAGGCATTAACTGTAGGTACATGAAAATACATACATGTGCACTGTTGTTGTGTTGTTTTCATATAGTGTATTTGTTAGACGTAAGGGCAGTTATGAATAACAAATGAGTTTACTCTTTTGTGTACAGCACAAGTATGACCCCAGACTTGAATAGTAGAGTGCATGATCAGAACGGTCATCCACCACAATGGACTGACTGACCTTAGATGGTTCATTTTCAGACCCCGTGTCCCAATATCTGCCAAAATTGACGAGCTTTTCTTTTGTTGCTGCAAACTAAGGTATTTTTCATTTCAGTGCAGTCAGCAAATCAATGCAAAAAATAAAAGATGGGGGGTTGATGATGGAGAGAAAGAACAACATAGCATCTGAGGGCAACTGGAGTGTAGTCGTTTTACTACTGCGACATAGTACTGCATAGGAAGATCTTTGGTGTGCATGCACGTTTTCTCTGTATGGAGGGCGTTGATGGCTAGTCCCTATACAATGGAATATTAAGCACATTATTTTGTTTTATGGGTGAAACTTTTTGCAACTACTGTACTTTTATTCTTTTTTCTCCCATGCAGTGTATGATGTCATCCAGAAACCCCTTTTCTTCCCCTCTCTCTCACTCTTTTTTTCCTCCCTCAGCAAGGCCGTAAATCATGATAATCCATGATCGTGGCCTGGCCTCACCCCTAACTACGTAACACCTCTGAAGCCTCCTCGGGCGCTGATACCACATAAAATTAGATCCCTACAGTATCTCAGCGCCACCACAGACGAGGTCATGTCATGTAGAACATGACTAATTCTGCAGCAAGCCCGACAGGGTAATTTTGCTGATAAAGGGGGAGGAGGGTGCTGGGGGGGGGGGGGGGGGGGGGGATTGTTAGAGATAGAGGGATAGGAAAGAAAGAAGATGAGGAAGTGGAGGTAGGGAAACAAGGGAGAATTCTAAGTGGGTCACACTAAGAACCAAAATACAACTAGTTTAAGGGCAATTAATCAACATCACTTATTAAGGTGGGCAATGCTCACCTCCAACTCAGCAAAGTAGAACTAGAAAGTGCACTTGGGGATATGAATCCTCTTTTAGACACTGTATAAAGAATCTCAACATAGAGGGGAGTTTAGAAGTATGTTATGATGTCTACTCCAACTTATTACTACAACTGTAAGCACATGTCATGATTGATTTCTTTTTCCACCATAGCAACCTCCTGTTATTGTCTCTTAATACCCTTTCATGTCAGCCCTGTGCATTCCTTGTATCTTATATCTTAGACATATGCATCTGTTGGACTTAACCCTTGGATATTTTGCTTCTAAATGTAATGTATTACAAATGAAGGCACATTTCTCTCTGCTAATCATTTCACTGAATATTAGAAGAAAGCTGTGTGTGTGTTGGTGTGCACACAGTTCTCATTCATAACACTCCGTTCGATGTCTCACTATGGGATGCGCCTCAACGCGTATGCAAACAGAAGCATCAATCTCATTATGTCAATCCTGATTGGCTGGTGATCTTGACGTCTACGTCAGGGAATCCACCCACCCTTTAAGTAGCTTGCGCTACGTTGCAGCGTCATTCAAACACCTCTTCTCGCTTCAGAGCACATCTCGAATATCAGTAGCCGGGCTAGCTTAACGGTCCACAGACTGAACCCAAGCTAACATTCGGTAGACGGGCGCTTGCCGGTTACTTTTTTGCTTTGCAGAAGAATTTAACAAATATTAACACACCAGTTAATATTGTAATCGGCCCCGCCGTTTTTTCTTTCGAAATAACGGTAAGGTTTGATTTTTTCCTTCAAACAGTAATATACCTGTTGCTAGTTTATCCCTCCGCGCCGACACCACGGTGAGCGGGGACGGACTCTTCTCTCCCTCACACCAGAGGAGACGGAGATAAGAAAGATATTAACACACCAGTTAATATTTTTTAAAGAAAAATCTACCCCGTCGTTTTTTCCTTTCGGAATAACGATAAGGTTGGATTTTTTTCAGTAACATACTTGCACTAGCTTGTCCCTCCGTGCCGACACCCCCGGCAAACGAGGATGGACCCTTCTTTTCCCTCACACCAGAGGAGTCGGAGGCTCGGCTCTGCGGCTGCGGGTTTAGGATCTCGGGCATGGACTCACACCAGGTCTGCTCGTCCTGCCTTGGGCTGGAACACGCCCAGGAAGCTATCGATACCCCCGGTTCGTGCGGGCATTGTGCCCGCTTCACCATCAAGAGCCTCCGCCGACGGCTAGCGCGCCGAGCTAGCCTGTCGTTACGGGACCCCTTCATGTCCGTTGATTCGCCGGCCGGCAATTGGGACATGGCGGCGACCGCCGCGGAGATTAAGCCCCGCGCTGTGTCAGGCTGGGGCTCAACAACGGCAAGAGCCGCGAGAGTGGAGCCCCGCGCTGTGTCAAGCTGGGGCTCCCAAATGGACCTCACCGTGGTTCCACCCTCGGAGGATGTCCTACAGCTGGATTATATGGAGGAGGATGAAGAGGATGCTTCTGAGTTCCTCTTATCCGACTCGGATGAGCACGAAGATGACATCTTCGTTTCATCTGCCCAGGCTGCCAAGCCGGAGGCGATGTCCGCTCCCCTGGGCGAAAGCACACCAGCTTCGCCCTGCCTCAGTATGGACTTGCAGCTCGTGTGCCAACGTGCTGCGTCCAGGCTGGACATCCCCTGGCCTGAAGTGGCCAAGGAGACCTCCAGATCTCGCTATGAGGGGAAGAACTTGCCCCAAGCAGCGAGGATGAGGAAGCAGCTTCTCCCAGTCTTTCCAGAGATGCTGGACGAGGTGTCGGTCTCGTGGAGAGACCGCCCTTTCAGCGACAAGGCCCCAATCCAGGGTGCCTCCTCTTTGGACTGTGTCGGCATGGAGAAGCTCGGCCTGCTCCGCAGGCCGCCCATGGATCCGCTAGTGGCAGTGGAAAAAGAGGACGTCTTGGACATGCCTATTGTTCCCGAGGGCATATTTGGCTCCGCTCTAGCTTCGATGCAGCAGCGGTGTGAATCCAAAAAGAAGGAGGATGAGGCTCTCCAGCTTTGTCTTCCCCAAAGGGTCCAGCCGCCGCCTTCAACGGCCCCGCGGCAGTCCTTCGCTCAGGCTGCCTCACGTCCTGCCTGTTTCAAGATCCCGAAACAGCAGAGGCCACAGCCCGCCCCGGGTCTCCAGCCCAGACACGAGGCGAGGACGAGCTGGCCAAGAAAGTCTCCGGTTCCGGCAGCAGCCGCTCAGGCACAGCCGCTCAGGCACAGCCGGCCCAGACTTTCAGCCACCAGACGAGGAAGAAGAAGAGGGCGGCCTGACAGCCTCCTCTCCTCTCCTCGATAAAAGAGCTGGAAGTTCCCTGTTCTCCAGCTCCAGAACACGTTCCAGTGTTAGATGCTCATGTGTTTCCGGGGTGCAACCATGACCCCATCTTCCCGCCGCCTCGAGTGATGTCAGAACGTCATCCTCAAGATCGCGCCAAGAGGGAAATGGACTTAACATCAACGACAGCTAGCTCCGCTCCTCGTTTAAGTCACACAAACACATGTCATCACTATTGTCTTTTAATAAATCATTTTCCACTGTCGTTTCCAGGCTTAAAGCCAAGGGCGCAGGCTTAAAGCCAAGGGCGCAGTCAATAAAAATGAAAAGAAAAACAATAAAAACAATAAAAAGTCTGACGTCTACCCCCCTTCTAAGAGTGGCTGCTACCTCTCTCAGAAGGCGGACGATGGACGGGGGCTGTGAAGGCATCACCGCCACGCGCATGCGCAGTGTCGACCGGGGTTGTCAACCTGGGGTACCACCGTGTTCAGACACTAGAGGGCCCCATAACACAACAAATAAAGACACAGAGGGCAGACGACAGGGATGTGACATCTCCATTCGCTTTGAGAAGCGAAAAGTGGAGGATGCTCACAGATTCTGCTTGGGTTTTCAAGACAATAACACGGGGTTACAGACTCCAATTCGCTGTCACCCCCCCTCACTTTTTGGGCATTCTGCATTCGCAAGCCCGGGGAGAGTCGGCCCATATTCTAGAGCAAGAGATCCTCTCGCGACTAGACAAGAAGGCTATATCTATAATACCCTCCGAACAGAGTCAGAGCGGCTTTTATTCCAAGTATTTCTTCGTTCCCAAACGGGGAGGGAACAGGATTCGGCCTATACTAGATTTGAGGGCTCTGAACAAATATCTCAAAAGATACAAATTCAGAATGCTCACTCACACATCTCTGTTGCGTCTCGTGCGCCAAAACGATTGGTTCACATCAGTCGACCTGAAAGACGCGTATTTCCACATCCCAGTATATTATCCACACAGGAAATATCTGAGGTTCGCCTTTCAGGGTGTCTGTTACGAGTACAGAGTACTTCCCTTCGGTCTGTCTCTCAGCCCACGAGTGTTTGTACGGTGTACGGAAGCCGCGATAGCCCCGTTAAGACAACAGGGTATTCGCCTGGCAACTTATCTGGACGATTGGCTCCTTCTCGCACAGTCGGAGCAAGAGGCTATTACGCAGACGAATGTCCTCGTAAAACACCTGGTCGACCTGGGTTTCGTAATAAACACAGAAAAGAGCATGTTGTCCCCAGCCCAGACTGTACTCTTCCTGGGCCTACGCCTGAATTCGGTGCCCTTTACAGCCCGCCTGTCAGCAGAGAGAGTGAAAGCCTTCAGGGCTTGCCTCGCACATTTCCAGCCACGCAAATATGTTCTCTTCAGATCATGTCTGCGGTTACTGGGGCTCATGGCGTCAGCCATCCTGATGGTACGACTGGGACGTTTACACATGAGGGAGTTTCAGCGCTGGGTGGCTGCCCTCAGACTGGACCCCGTGTGTCATGGCGCGCGGAGAGTGATGGTCACTATGAAATGCATAATGGCACTGCGCCACTGGCTGCACCCGACTTTTCTAGTACGGGGC